ATGAGCACCTTGTGTACAGTGTGGGGAACAGATTTATGGTGAACAACCTATTGCTAGTGTGTTTGTTTTAATGCAGTGGCAGATTAATCTGGACCGAATAGATGAACTTAATAGATTCTAAAAGTTGAAGACATAATATAGAAAGTGCAGTAAATCAGGGCTGGGGATGTAGCTCAGTGGAAGATTCATTGCTTAATATATGCAAGTCCCTGAGGTTAACTCCAGCACCTCAGGATAGTAGTATCAACAGTTATGCAGCTTAAAGAGTTGGGAGGTATATTTTCTTCTCACCTGCACCTGAGTACAGAAAGGAAACTTTAATAGTCACCCAGAGCTCCCATGTAACATCACTGTCAGAAACTCTTCTCCTCTAAAACAACGTGATCGTGATTTTTTTTTGGTCACTCATTTTTTTTTTGTTACTAAATTTACTATGCTTATATTACTAATATTAAAACATTATTACACTTATCTATGTTCTGTGGGGCTCTCTGACAGATGATGAGTGTCGCAACTCAGCCCTCCCCCCAGGCCCTGGGGAGAAGCACACCCACTGAGTCGGAAGTCTGATGGAGGAAGGTCATTGGCTAATAAAGAAACTGCCTTGGCCCATTTTATTGGTTAGAACATAGGTGGGTGGAGTAAACAGAACAGAATGCTGGGAGGAAGAGGAAGTGAGCTCAGACTCGATAGCTCTCCTCTCGGGGGCAGACGCCTCAGACAGAGGCCATGCTCCCCACTCCCGGGCAGACGCGATAGCTCTGCTCTCTGAGGCACACGCAATGAAGCTCCGACCCAGGATGGACGTAGGCTAGAATCTTCCCGGTAAGCGCACCTTGGGATGCTACACACATTATTAGAAATGGGCTAGTCCAGGTGCAAGAGTTAGCCAAGAAGAGGCTAGATATAATAGGCCAAGCAGTGTTTAAATGAATACAATTTGTGTGTTGTTATTTTGGGGCATAAGCTAACAGGCGGCTGGGGTGCTGGGGACCCAGCCCCACCGCTCCTATTACTACAGGAGTCTGTCAAAGCAGGAACTCATTTAATGGTATCAAGCAGGGACTTATATAGGATTGTGATGGGTGGAGAAGCCTGGGATGGGCCAAGTATGACTGAAGTATAGTGACAATATGAGGTTTTATAGTCTCTCAAGAAAACACGTCATCTGAGCAGCCTTGACAAGTGTGATAGTTTGAATGTAATTGGCCTCCATAATCTCACAGGGAGTGCACTATTAGGAGGTGTGGCTTTATTGGTGTAGCCATGGCCTTGTTGGAGGAAGTGTGCCACTGTGCGGGTAGGCTTTGAGGTTTCGTATGCGTAGGATACTGTCCAGTCAGTCAGTCAACTTCCTGTTGTCTGAAAGATGTAGGACTCTGAGGTATTCCTCCAGCACTGTGTTTGTCTGCATGCCATGTTTCCCACTATCATGATAATGAACGGGACCTCTGAAAGTGTAAGTGAAGCCCTCAATTAAATGTTTTCCTTATAATAGTTGCCGTGATCGTGGTGTCTCTTCATTGTAATAGAAATCTAATGAAGTCAAGAGTGTGGGAGTGATTAGATTAACTTGTTTGTTTTTTGTTTTGTTTTTTTTTTTTTTTTTTTGAGACAGGGCTTCTCAAAAAAAGCCCTGACTGTCTTGGAGCTCACTCTGTAGACCAGGTAGGCCTTGAACTCAGAGATTTGCCTCCTTCAGCCTCCTGATTGCTGGGTGTAGTAATATGAGCGGCGGGGCTGCATCCCCAGCACCCCAGCAGCCTGGCTAGCTTATGCTCTGAAATAACAACACATAAACTGTATTCATTTAAACACTGCTTGGCCCTTTAGCTCTAGCCCTTACAGGCTAATTCTCACATCCCGATCAACCCATCTCTAATAATCTGTGAGCCCTGGTTTTACCGGGAAAGGTTCAGCATGTCTAACCTGGCGGCTTGCTTCATCGCGTGCGTCTGCCCGGGAGAGCGGAGCATGGCATCTCTCTGAGGCGTCTGCTCCCGAGAGGAGAGCTGTGGAGTCTGAGCTCACTTCCTCTTCCTCCCAGCGATCTGTTCTGTTTACTCCTCCCACCTATCTTCTAACCAATGAGAGCCAAGCAGTTTCTTTTTATTTAACCAATGACTTTCCTCCATCAGCTGGGATTAAAGACATGTGCCACCACCGTTTACTGATCAACTTGGTTTTTAAAGAAGTTCTATTGAGAAGTGCAGTAAGGGAGGCAAAATGTAGGAAGTTGTTAATGAAAGGTGTGGCATGTGCACCTCTGCCGGCTAGATTTTGGTATGTTTTGAAGGGACATCTAGGTAGATTTTCTGCCTTTGGCTTATGGGAGACTAGAAAGTGTGAATGTCCACATGTGGTGCAGGTTTAGAATGCTGTTGGAGTCTAGTTTTGTTGTCTTAGTTAGGGTTTCTATTGCTGGGAAGTGATACCATGACCATGGCAACACTTATAAAGGAAGACATTTGATTGGGACTGGTCCACAATTCATCATGGTGGGACATGGTATGCAAGCAGGCTGACATGGTGCTGAAAAGAGAGCCAAGTGTTCTACTTCTGAATCTGAAGGCAGCAGAAAGAGTAAACCAGTGGATCGGGCGTGGGCATCTGAAACCTCAAAGCCCACTGCCAGGGACATGCTTCCTCCAACAAGGCTGTGCCTACTCCAGCAAGGCCACACTTCCTAGTAGTGCCATTCCCTATGAGCCTATGGGGGCCATTTTCATTCAAACCACCACACTTTTGAAATGTTTGTTACTTATGTTGTGATTGTCTACTTGGATACTTAAAGTTAGTAGAAAGAGTAGTGTATATAATAAAGACTGAGTCTGTCTACCCCTAAGTGCTTGAGCCAGAGCTTTTTCAGGTTGTGGGGTTTTTTGGAGTTTGGAATATTTTCATAGACTTTAGCAGTTGGGCATTTCTAAACTAAAACTGAAACCAGAAGTGCACTAAAAAAATTAGAGTATAGTGTGAAAAACTTTTTGAAAGGGTTTTTGTTCTGTAAGAATTTTTTTTAAAGATTTATTTTTTATTTATTATGTATACAGTGTTCTTTCTGCATGTGTGTCTACAGACCAGAAGAGGGCACCAGATCTCATTACAGATGGTTGTGAGCCACCATGTGGTTGCTGGGAATTGTACTCAGTGCTCTTAACCTCTGAGCCATCTCTCCAGCCCGTTCTGTAAGAAGTTTAAGAGAAGTTAATCTATGAGCTTCCTCATCAGGCAACAGTGAGTAAGTTAGGTGAAAGACATAACCAAAATCATGGTCATTTTCATTATTTTTAACCATTGTTCGTATGGAGTATTGCACTCTGTCCTCCTATCTAGGGTTTTCTCAGGTTTATTAGTAATTATTGTCTGAGGTTGTCTAGAACTTCTGAGTGATTCTTGAAGACTGTTAATATTCTCCATCACTACCATCTTATTTGTTTATTTATTTAAAACCAGGCTGGTATCAAACTCACAGAGATCTGCCTGCCTCTGTTTCCCTTCATGACTTGTTCAGCCTGCTTTCTTATAGAACCCAGGAACACCAGTCTGGTGTGGCCCCATCCAAATGGGGTGGGCCCTTCTACATCAATCACTTAAGAAAATGGCCTATACCAGTGGTTCTCAACCTGCAGGTACCAACCCCTTTTTGGAGGTTCATGACCCTTTCACAGGGGTTGCATATCAGATATTTATATTATGATTCATAACAGTAGCATTATTACAGTTATGAAATTGCAACGAAATAATTTTATGGTTGGGGTCATCACAACATGAGGAACTGTGCTAAAGGGTTTTAGTGTTAGGAAGATTGAAAACCATTGCCCTTTAGGCTTCCCTACAGCCTGATCTAATGGAGGTATTTTCTCAATTGAGGTTCTCTTATCTGCACTGACCCTGGCTTATGTCAAGTAGGCATAAAACTAGCCAGCACAACTGACCCCTTGTTAGCTTGGCATCCAGACACACACATCACTGTTCATCCCCAAGAGCACACATTAATAGAGATAGCACAATGTACATCATTTTACAAACTTAGGTTCTACAACTGTAAAAATTCAAATACTTTAAAAGTTCAGTCTTTTCATAGTATCCAGTCTCTTTTAAAAAAGAGTGCCAGAACTAAAGGCATGTGCCACCATGTCTGGCCTCATTCCTTCCTGTCTTAAACTCATTAAACACTGGATTAAAAAAGAATGCTGTCATGACATTTTCTGATTTTGAGCTACTTGGAAACTTGTCTAAGAGACCTTTTCTTCTTCCCCGGAGTCGCACTGGAGGCGTTCATCATAGGAAGCGAGGCACTTGGTGCTCTAGAGGTGGGTGCTGCAGTTAACAGATAACGTCATAGCTCTGTGCATAGCGGGCTGGTGGTGATGGCCTTTATTTTTTCTTTTTAAAAAGGGTCCTTTTCAGCACACACATTTAATCCCAGCACTTGGAGGCAGAGGCAGGTGAATCTCTGTGAGTTTGAGGCTAGCTTAGTTTCCAGAGTGAATTCCAGGACAACCAGAGCCATATAGAGACACCCTGTCTTGAAAAACTAAACAAAAAGAGGGGTCTTTCCTAATCCCCCTTTAGATCATTTGCAATTTTGGTTTTATGTCTTACCAGTGTGTCAACCTAGTGATGTGTGGTAGTTTCTTGTATTGTAGCTGTTGGTATTATTATGGTTAATTTTAAACAACTAGTTGTTCAGAACCAGGAATCCTCCAGAGTGTATGTTGAATCAGTTGGAATGCACTCTGGATTCCCTGATCCACAGGTAAAGGCCTGTAACAAAGAAAGGATCCACTTACCACAAATGTTAGCTTAGTTATTTTTAACATCTCCCATGAATACTAGAACTTGGGAGGCAAAGGCCGAGGATCTGGTGGATCTTTGAGTTCAAGGCCAGTCAGGAATACATCGTGAGCTCCAGGCCAGCCAGAGCTACAAAGTGAGACCAAAATATGGCATGAACATAGGAAGGCAGCCACTGACTCCCTTCTGCTTTTGTTTAGGAGATGCACCGGAGATTTGAGAATGCCCCTGATTCTGCCAAAACAAAAGCCTTGCAAACCGTCATTGAGATGAAGGTAAGTGAGAATCTCATGAAGAATCTTGGGGTCACCTTTCATTCTTAAATGGGTAGCCTCCTTGCATGGGTAGAGAGTTATGGTATAATACTTTGCTCAATTGGAAGATCGAGAGGAAACTGTAAGTCTAATGAAAGAATACCTTAACAGGATTTTCAGTTTCTTTTCAGTTGTTGGACATAATTCAAATGAGACAAAAAGAGTTGTCTAGCATTTCTTTAAATCAAGTGTCAGATTTCTTAGAGAAGAGGGGGATTGTTAGGCAAGAAGAAGGAAACCTAGTCAGGAGGGAGGGTGATAGGAAGAGTAATAGGGGTAAACAGGATCAAATTATGCTCATACATGTACAAAATGGCACAATAAGGCTGGTTCTTTTATGTAATTAACATTATGCCAATGAAAAGAGGAATTATGGAAAGCAAACTTCTTGGCCTGCAGAGATAACTATCAGTAAAATGTTTGCTGGGTACCTGAGCTGGATCCCTAGAATCTATGTAGAAAAGCTGAGCTTGTAGGCACACGCTTATGACTTTAGCACTGGGGAGATAGCAGCAGGGAGGGAGCTCCCTGGGACTTGCTGGCTGACTAGCCTCTCCTACTTGGTAGACTCCAGGCAAGGGAGACACTTTGTCTCATAAAACAGGGTGGATAGTGCTTAAGGAGCAACATTGGAGCCTTAATGTTAGGATCCCATAATTCTCTTAAAGTTGATAAGCCAACTTTTTTTTTGTTGTTGTGTTGTTTTCTTTTGGAGACAGGGTTTCTCTGTGTAGCCTTGGCTGTCCTGAAACTAACTCCCTTTGTAGACCAGGCTGGCCTTGAATTCACAGAGACTCGCCTGCCTCTGCCTCCCAAGTGCTGGGATTAAAGGCATATTCCACCACTGCCTGGTATACTTCCTTTATTTTTAGGAACAAAATTTGCCAAAACCTAAGTCTCAGTAATCACCATTTTCCAGTTGTGTCTTTAGTAAGAGCTGTGCTGTAAGAAGGAAGTATATAGCTCACCTTGCACCTTACAGCACCCTGCAGGTGCCGTTACTAGGGATAGCCATTGTTCAGTATGCAGTATAAGTGCTCCATGCCTAATTCCACTTTTCATATAGATTTGATGCTGGATGTTATTAAAAGTAATGCATTTTAACTGCTTAAGGACATTCTTTAAGATTTTATTTTTCTTCATTGCCAGTTTATCCCCCTAAAGAATGTCATGACTACTACTGTCCTGACTTGTGCTCAGGCACTGGTACCTTTGTTTGTTGTTTCTTATCAGTGCAATTGTCAACACATTGGATAGATCCAATGATAACTGTAAGATTATTGCAAAAATAGCTTTAGTCCTGTAGACTCTGTGTCTAGAGGACCCCCAAATTGAAAAGATAGTATTTTGAAAAACTGCTTTAGACTAGCCATTAGAAATCTCTAGGAGTTTTAAGAGTTTGCTTTCTAAGTTAAACTCCTTTGATTTAAAAATCTAGCTACATCTTATCAGATACGTGACAAAAAGCAAGTTCCTAACCTCTCTATGGCTTTCTCAGATTTATAAAAAAAGTCTATTAATTCAGTGATTAATTTGATGTTCATTGATTAAAACATGTAAAATGCTTTGGACAGGGCCTTGCACATAGCTAACGACTGATGTTAGGTGGTGTTGCTAGTATTTTTACTAGACACATGGTCTTCTGATTTCTTTGTTGTTGTGACAAGCTGGCTTAGGGTTCCATGGTATAACTCACAATTGCAGAAAAGTCAGAGGCAGAAACTTGAGACAGCTGGTCACACTGTATCTGTAGCCAAGGGCAGAGAGAAGCAAATGGCATTATTGCAGTCTGCTGGCTTGTTGTCTCCAGCTTTCTTTTATGTTGTACAGTTTAGGGCTCAATGCCTGAATTGGTGCCACCCAGGTTCAGGGTGAGTCTCCCATCCCACCTCAGTGCAATCCATACAGTCTCTGCACAGGCTGATCTAATCTAGATAATTCCTCATTGAGACTCTTTCCAGGTGATTCTTGGTCGTAGCCTGTTTCTATTTAAAATTAACCATCACATATGGTCCTCCTTTCCTTTTCTTGTGTCCTAGGCTGGTTTTGGACTTTGCCATCTTCCTTTATTATAGGCATGTGCTACCATATCTCTGCTTTATGTTCTTTCTTAGAAAAGCTCATTTCGTTCTACCTGCTTTCTTTAACTTCTTTATACTACATAAGAGGCTTGGTTTGTGTTATAATCCACTTTTGTGTGTGTGTTAATGTGTTTTTGAGCTAAGGTTTCAGTTTAGCCTTGGCTGCCAACGATACAATTTGACTGACAATGATAAAACTTTGCTCATAGTATGTATATTTTCTTTTTTAGTAGAATAAGGAGTTACCAAACAAAATTTTTTTTAAATATTTATTTATTTATTATTTATACAGTTAGCCAGAATAGGGCACCAGACCTCATTACAGATGGTTGTGGGCCACCATGTGGTTGCTGGGAATTGAACTCAAGACCTTTGGAAGAGCGGGCAATGCTCTTAACCACTGAGCCATCTCTCCAGCCCCGAAACAAAATTTAAATTACTAGTTTTTGGGCTCTTTAACAAGCTTGACTATAATCTTATAAGGACTTTGGAATGGTTTAATTTTGTGGCTTTCCCTTAGTCACACAACATAGTTCATTTGTGCATGTTATTTCCTGATTCCCTTTTAGTGTCTAAGGATAAAACACATGTTTACACATGGTTTTGTGTTGTTTGTTTGTTTGTTTTAAACTCTCCAGCTCACAGATCAGGAATATGTAATTTTGTTAATTGGCAGTGGTGGGCATATTTTAAGTTTTGCCAAGCTTGTATTGTAAAATGAGATTTTGTCAACAAGAAGGGTCAGGTGGATGCTATGTTGGTTATTTTTCTCACTGCTAGAACAACACACCTGGCAAAAGTAACTTTAAAAAGGATGGGTTTATTTTGGATGTGACTTGAGGGTAGAGTCCATGGGGTGAGATGAGGCAGTAGGAGTGTGAGGCATCTGATCAATTTGTGTTCACAGTTAGGATGCAGAGAGATGTGAGTGTTGCTGCCCCACTGGCTTTTGTCTTTTTTCTTTTTCTTTTTCTTTTTGTTTCCTCTATGGTCCTGAGAATAGTGGTTTTTAAATTTTTTTTTATTTAAATACAGTCTTTTCTCCTTTTACATAGCTATTCCTGTTCCCACTCCCTCCCCTTCTCCTGTTTTACTCTCTTCCCCATCCCACCCCCATCCACACCTCCAAAAGGTTAAGGCTTCCCATGGGGAGTCAAAAAGTCAGACATATCATTTCAAGGCAGGCCAAGGCCCTCCCCCTATATCTAGTCTGAGCAAGGTATCCCTCCAAAGAGAACATGCTCCAAGATGCCAGTTCAAGCACTAGGGATAAATCCTGGTCCCACCACCAATGGCCACACAGACTGCCCAGGCCTCACAACTGTCCCCCACATTTGGTGGGGCTTTTGGTCCTATACAGGTCTCCCCTCCCTCCCGCTATTTGTTCAGAGTCAGTGGGCTCTCACTAACTCAGGTCAGCTTTTTCTGTGGGTATCACAACTCAGACCCAGATAGACAAACATGGTATGTACTCACTCATAAGTGGATATTAGACCTAAAGCAAAGAATAACCAGCTTATATATAGTCCATGATTCCAGAGGAGCTAGGTAACAAGGAGAACCCTAAGAGAGACATACGGGGATCCCCCGGGAGGGGAAACAGACAAGATCTCCTGAGAAAATTGGGAGTGTGTGGGTAGAGAAGGGAGGGTGGAAGGGGAAGGGGAGAAGAGGAGAGAGAGGAAGAGAACATGAGGGTACAGGATACTCAAGAAAGGGTAAGGACAGAGAGGGAGAGAAAGGAAAGAGATGTCTTGATTGAGGGAACCATTAAGGGTCTAGTGAGAAACATGGCCCTAGGGAAATTCTCAGGAATCCACAAGGATGACCCCAGCTAAGACTCTAAGCAACAGTGGAGAGGATGCCTGAACTGGCCTTCCCCTGTGGTCAGACTGATGACCACCTTAATTGTCATCATAGAACCTTCATCCAGCGACTGATGGAAGCAGATCAGAGATCCACAGCGAAGCCCTGGACCGAGCTTCTGGAGATCAGTCCAAGAGAGGGAAGAGTGATAATATGAGCAGAGGGGCTTTCTCCTTTTCATTTAGTTCTGGACTCTTGCTCATGTGATGGTGCCATTCTCCCATCTTAAACACTTAGGTGCATATACACACCCTAAGAGGCCCCAGGAGTGTATCTTTCAGGTGGTTGGAAGCTGGTCTCTTGTGTAGCAAAATGAGATGGTTCAGGGTAATTAGATCCTTCAGGAAAGCCCAGCTTTGCTTGGGGAAATGAGACAACCTTTGGAATTGGAGATGTGGGGAATTTCCCAAGGAGGAGATCTCAGAGTGCCCATTAGGAGTGGTTGACAGTGATGGGGAGTCAGGGCTTGGGAAGTAGAGTGGGAAAGTGAAAGGGAACTTAATTATCTGCTTATTTCAGTTGATTAGGAGAGAGATTCTCACATAAACCAGGCTTGGTACCACTGGAGTTTATGCTGGACCTAGTTACACTAACAAGGACTAGTTGTCTAACCTGATTTCAAAGAGTAAACTGATAGCTCTTTCCTCAGATAATTCATGTTTGCCGTGAGGTTTCACAGCCACAGTAATGTCTTTTCTAGAAAGAAGTTTTCTGTTCTTGCTGTACGTTTGGTAGTGAATTGATTTTGTCCTATGTCACTGTTATGGTTGGGTAAGGTCCTTGTGGAAGCTGCGCAGGTGGTCTGCTGAGGACGCACAGAGCTAGGGCTGTTACTCTGGGCCCGCTGTCTTGTGTGGATCACAGCTGTGCTAAACCTACACTCCCCTTTCTTTTCCCATCTGTTCATTACCTCTTGCTGCTCCTAGGTGTGGGCACGGCAAAACTTATTTTGATTCCTAGCTATTTGTGCTTATCTGGTGTTTTAGTCATTTTAAAGAGACCATGTCCTGATACGTGAAGAAAATTTTATGTTAATTTTAAAAGTGAATTTCTACAATTTATGTCAATCTGTTTCTACAATTTATGTTAATATGTTTCTGCAATTTTTGTGTTAATCTTAAAAGTGAATTTCTATAATTGAAGCTTAGGCTATGAGCAAGGCAAGGGTACCTCTTTCCCCCTTAGTTCCCCAAACCTGAAAACTGCTGGTTAAAATTGTCTCACGACAGATCTTTAAGTTCTGTCTTTCTGTTCTAGGAATTATGATAGCCTATACAGCCAACCCAGACATCTTTGATATAAAGTAAAAAGGAAGTCAGTTTCAGAATTCCAACCCAGAATGTTCTCTCTAAAGCTCCAAGTAAAATGAAGCCATAAATTCTTTAAATCTTTTATTTCTTAGGTAAATAAACATGTTCAGTTACAGATATAAAATTATTTTCACGTAGCCATTTTGCTGTGATTGATACTTATGTTGAGGATAAGTTATATGTTTCCACAAACAAATCAAGAAATTGAGTATAGAAACATGTAGAACTAGAAGGTGATATTTGTGGTAATGGTTTACAAGAACAGTGATTTATTATTTAATATAACTATTTTTGAGATGGGGGTTATCTTACTATGTTGCCTAGGTTGTCCCTAAACTCCTAGTCTCGAGTAATCCTCTTGCTGCCTTGTTCTAAATACCCAGAACTATACTCATGTGTCATGGAAATTAGTGATTTTTAAAACATAAATAGATATTTCAAATGTACACCAGAAGTACAGTGAATAAGAGTTCTAATGTACGAAAAGTAACTGCTAATATATAAATATTCACTCTTGATTTTTTTCTTCAATTGGAATGATAGATAATTATTATGGTATATCTTATTATGAATTTTATTGTACAATTCTTTCAAGCTTTATTCTTTTCTCTTAGTGGCAGAAACATGTCCCCCACCCAGAGGTCACTAAATAAAGTAGTGAAATATTACAATAGAAAAGGTTTTATGGTCAATTTTACAGTTTTTCCTCCACTAGAAATTTGTTGATCATAAAAGTGCAGAGAACCTTTAACCATTTTCTGTTGTTTCTGCCCGTTTGGTCAATTCTGTCTGCTTGAGTTGAAAGTGTCTGTAACTGGAGGGAGGAAGAGGAGCAGCCATGCTGTGGGGATGTGTCCTCCTCGTTCCACATGGTGCAGCAGCAGGTTTTCAGAGACCCAGTCATTCAACTACTTTTAATCTTTGTAAATAGTTTAACACTTAACTGCTGTAGGATATTTTACTCTTGTTTTTTTGAGGGGCACACCACTCAGCTCCCAAATAAATCACACACAGATGTTAATGCCTGGCCTTAACTTGGCTTGTTTCTTGCTAGCTTTTCTTATCTGAAATTATCCCGATTACCTTTTGCCTTTGAAAGGGCTTTTATCTTTCTGTATTTTTGTATGCCTTTCTTCTTTCTCAGTTGCTTGCTTTGTAGCTGTGTGACTGGCCCTGATGTCCTAGTCTCCTAGTTCTCTCTCCTCCCAGATTTCTCCTTGTATTTATGATCTCTGCTTGTTAGCCCCGCCTATCCTTGCTCCCTCTTGCTATTGGCTGTTCATCTCTTTGTTAGAACTGTCAGGTGTTTTAGACAGACACAGTAACACAGCTTCACAGAGTTAAACAAATGCAGTGTAAACAAAAGTGACACCTGAAAATAATATTCCCCAACACTTAACTCTTCCATGTTCCTAGGATTCAAAAATTTCTTCCATGGAGCGTGGACTCCGAGACCTGGAAGAGGAAATTCAGATGCTGAAATCAAATGGGGCTTTGAGCACTGAAGAGCGAGAGGAGGAAATGAAACAGATGGAGGTGTATAGGAGCCACTCTAAATTCATGAAGAATAAGGTATGGAATGGATACTTCAGTTCCCGGAAGCTTTAAAATTTATGCATACTTTTCCATGTTAGTGATTGCAAAGATCTACTTTATGCTTTATTAGATTTTAGAGGAGTGTTCCCTCCCCTCCCCCCACTTAGAAACTTCCCAGAGTTAAGGTCAGAATGACTGGTATCATTTAGTTATTGTAGACTTTTATTTAAATAAGAATTGTTTGATGTGACTAAGGACATGTTATCGTTTAACTTTTTGTTTCTGTAAGTCCTTCTGAAATGATTTTATGGAACTTTGTTCAACCACATTGTTCTTACGGTGTGAGAGCTCATTCTCTACCCCTTCTTGGGAAATAGTTTAAATCAAATCCCTGAAAGTTGTTTTTTTTGTTTTTTGTTTTTTTTTTTTCCCCCCAAAAAGTTAAATGTTTCCCCTTTAAACAAGTCCCAAGATGGAAGGCCTTTGCTTTCTCGGTTAGGGGGGTTCATTTGCCCTCAGGTGTGCTGCTCCCTATGCGCTCTCAGGCGTGTGTGCAGTAGGGCAGTCAGTACTGAGGCCTAGCAGTGTGCTTTAAAATCAGATCCAAAAGTCATTTATTTTGATTCTATAAACTATTTAAATAAAATTGAAGAATTTAATTTATTGGGATATCAATTTTATTGTGGTTCAATTAAAAATAATTATTGTCAAAGTTTGGACATGGTGGCACATGCCTGCAGTCCCAGCACTTGGTAGACAGAGACAGCTGGACTGCTGCATCTTAGAGGCCAGCCTGGTCTACATAGAGAGTTCCAGGCTAGCCAGGGCTATACAGTGAGGCCCTGTCTTAAAACAAACAAATATGCAAATAAATAATTTTAACAATGAAAATTTAGCTAGAAAAATCTTAACTCACTGCATTTCCCAAATGTATAGAGCGGCTGTATTCTTCAGTTTCTCACAATTGAAAACTGAAACATTCTCCAAATTTGACTGTCAAGAAATACAGGTGTGACTCCCTATCCTGTTTAGGCTTTTTGTTGTGTATCTGGCATATGTCTGTAGAATTTTCCTCTATTGCTAAAGAGTCTGTTATTGATGATTTATGCCAATTTTGTGCTAGTTTTAATGCTAAAAAATTGATGTGCTCAACTTTTTGTTAGCTTGGATTTTCTCCATGATTTTAAGGACAAAATATACCATATTAAAATCTATATTATACTTCCTTTTTGCTGACCAGCACATTCTAGTTCATTTGAAAAAAGTTTGAAATAGAAACAGTATATGCCTTTGAAAATTGAGTTAGTGGAAAAGATTCAATTATTTTACATAAGTTATTATTATTTCAGAGGTCACTGTGGCTCAAAATCAGATAATTTGAAGTCCTAAGTTGGCACATGAGTGAAAAACAATAACAATGTCGTGACAGGTAGAACAACTGAAGGAGGAACTAAGTTCGAAAGAGGCTCAAGGGGAGGAGCTGAAAAAGAGAGCGGCTGGTCTTCAGTCTGAGGTCTTTGCAGTAAGATTTACCTCTCTGTGTGCAGTGATCCCATAGTGGGACCCTGCTGGCTCTGGCTTCTGGGTGGCTTACACTTTCATTCTCTCTATGGATGGCAGCTCTGCCCATTCTTAGCACTAACCAGCCTGCTCTGCTCTTTTGACTGACCTTTGTTCACAGTTTGACCCATATGTCACTTGTGCACACTGAGTCCACATGGATTCTGGGAGCCCTACACCTGGTTCTTTATTGTTTTGCTGTTCTGTGGATGGTATCTCAAAACTCCCATTCCTCGTTCCCTTGTTGAGTAGATGTATGCTGATTTATATGAATGGTCTTTCCCTCCATTCTTTTAGGTACAGGAATATGCAGACATCTCTAGGCCTATCGCCTACAACTTACCTCCATTTGAAGTTCTTGAGAAAAGTACTTTAACTACATGGAGACATTAAGTTCTCATTAGGAGATTTTGCAGCAAATGTTATTTTCTTTAGGACAGATGTATAGAGAGTAAATAGCTATTTAAATTTAGCTGGGAGTTTAGAATTGGTGTGATGTTTTTTAAATTACTAAAACTGCATTTCAAACCATTCTAATAGATAATAATAAAATAACCATGATCTGTATACTTACTAGAAGCATCTGGGGTGATCAGCACCAATTTACAGAGGAGAAAGCTCAGGTAACAGACAATGCCCAGTGAACCACAGGTCATAAGGGATAGGGTTTGATTGACACCAGCTATCCTGTTTCAGAGTTTACTTGTAATTTCTTCACTATTTTGTTTGTATTGGCCATACACAGCTTCTTCAAAGTGTCAAAGATGAGTGGAAAAACTACCCTTGGGAAGAATTGTGGACTAAGACTTGAATGCAGTATTAAAAATAAATTTTGATAATTTGATATGCTGCTTCCTATTTATGGCTACTTTGTATTGTAGGTTAAAAAGTAAAATACTATGTTTGGAAAAGATCTAATTTGGATTATGGTATTAACTATATGTTATCTGGAGGAGGAATTGGTATATAACTTTCTTTTTTTCTTAGCGACTGTTTTTCATTTATGTGTATCAGACAGCAGGCCAAGTACATTATTTTATTGAATTCCTAAGCAGTATGAGGCTTTGTTATAATTTCTCCATTGCCAGTTAGGAAGCCAAGATGTAGAGAAGAATAACATTACTGATCTCTTTAGCAACTAACTACTATCATGTGCTCCTCACCTAGTTTTCTCTCCTGGGCGTTCCAGAAGGAAGATTCGTACTTCTAAATTTTTCTTTTGTTTAAAATGTTTTCTTCTTTTTCTCAGTCTCTAAGGGTCTGTATCGCAGCATGTAAAGCTCGTTAAGTAGTGCACACAGTAAGGAAACAGCAGTCCTGTGCGGAACTGAAATCTCTCTCCGTATGTATGTGTGCATTTTAGGATTTTGAGAAAGACCTTATTATGTAGGCTAGTCATCAAACCTCTGATTCTGCCTCAGCCTCCTTAGCATTGAGGTTTTTGGGTGTGTACCTCTATGCCTGGCTTCTGTTTATTTTTAACTCATGTTTAGAAATATCCAGAGATTTAGATACCTTTGAACTGTAGTTCTTTCCTGAGACAGTAGTAACACTTTGAATATTCTGGGCATTTATTTATAGAATAAATACATTTTTAGTTCAATCTATATATTACAGATGGAAAAATGCTAATATGTATTTTTGTTGTTGGTAAAGGGATAACATGAATATCCTTACGTATTTGCTTATCTGTAAATAGTTTTCATGTGTATAGAAAAATGCTTGCCTTATTGAAAGAGAAGACTAAATTATTTTTAGTGCTTCTTAAAAGTATAATTGGGCCGGGCGGTGGTGGCGCACACCTTTAATCCCAGCACTTGGGAGGCAGAGGCAGGCGGATCTCTGTGAATTCGAGACCAGCCTGGTCTACACGAGCTAGTTCCAGGACAGGCTCCAAAACCACAGAGAAACCCTGTCTCGAAAAAGCAAAAAAAAAAAAGTATAATTGGTTCCTTCCTTCCTTCCTTCCTTCCTTCCTTCCTTCCTCCCTCCCTCCCTCCCTCCCTCCCTCCCTTCCTCCCTTCCTCCCTCCTTCCCTCCCTCTCTCACTCCCTCACTCCCTCCCTCTCTCACTCCCTCACTCCCTCCCTTCTTCCCTCCCTCCCTTCTTCCCTCCCTCTCTTCCTATCTTGTTGTTGTTTTCCTGGGGAGATCAAATGTAGGGTCTTGTACATGCTAGGAAACAACTCTTTTGTTGTGGTATGTTCCCAAATTAAAAGTCTGATTTTAAGGTAAACTCTATTTCTTCCTGTGAAATTTCTTAAAAAGCTTTCTCTTGTTACCTAAGATTGGTGTAGTAAAATACTTTAGAGATGCTCAGTTTTCTAAAACTCCAGAACTTAGCTTCATCTGCCATGAAAATTTCTGACGTACCATATGTCTGCCAGTAGTTAATCTGTCATGTACTTATTTTCTGGACGGTAGACCTAATAATATAAACTCAGAAAATGTCATAAGACAGCTTTCTTTTTTAATCTTTATTTAAAGTTTCAAAATAGGAAAGAAGGTGGCTGGGCATGGTAGTGCACGTCTTTAACCTCAGCACTTGGGAGGCAGAAGCAGATGGATCTCTGAGTTTGAGGCCAGCCTGGTCTGTATAGTGAGTTTTAGACAACCAGGGCTACACAGAGAAACCCTGTCTTAGGAACAAGGCTGGCTAAGAAGGCTGAATGAATAAGAACGCTTGCTCTGTCAGCATGAGTGTTTCAGTCTCCAGAAGTCATGTCAGACGCCAGGTGTGGTTGCCTGTCTGTATCCTAATGCTACAGGGACATGAACACAGGAGGGTTTCTAGGGTTGGTTAGCTTCAGCTTCAGTGAGAGAACCAGGCTCAAGGGAGCAAGGCAGAAGGTGATAGATGGATATCCAGCATTGGCCTCTGTATGTGTACACGCAAATATAACACTGTGCACATTTACTGTCCTCATTGGCTGTTGACCTGTAATCCCAACATTTAGGAGATAGAGGCAGTAAGATCAGGAGTTCAAGACCAGCCTTGGCTGCATAGTCAGTTTGGGCTGGTCTGGGGCACACAAGACTGACTGATTCTCTCTCTCTCTCTCTCTCTCTCTCTCTCTCTCTCTCTCTCTCTCTCACACACACACACACACACACACACACACACACACACAAATGCTTAGGAACAATAGAGATATAAGGAAATATTTGTTGGTGTTAAGAGAGTTTTGTGGAGCCAGATTGTGGTGGTGCACACCTTTAATCCCAGCACTCATGAGGCGCACAGGCAGGCAGATCGCTGTGAGTCGAGGCCTGCCAGGTCTATAGAACGAGTTCCAGAACAGCCAGGGCTACACAGAGAAACCCTATCTCGAAAAACCAAAAAAGAAAAAGAAAAGCTTTGTGAAGAGTGCATTGTACTGTTTATGACTGGCCTGTTCAGATGCCACATGTGGATTCTCTCAGGGGAGCTCATACATTCTTCATTTAAGTCCATGTGTCTGTTTATGTCTATGATGTGGATGTAGTTGATAAACAGTTGACTTTTTTTTTTTTTAAAGAAAACATCTCTCTGATGCCCTAACACTGAAACCAGCCTGGTTTTGTCCTGTTTTCATGATACAGGGTCTCACTGTACTGTTGGCATGCTTAGAACTCACAGAGATCCAACAGCTTCTGCCTGTTCTGCGTGGGATAAAAGTTTACACTACCTCATCTAACCTAGCTTTTTAAGATAAAGCGTTTATAAAACTTTTGTTTGAGAAAGAAAACTAAAGAAGCATACCACTAGGATTTGAATTTACTTTCAGCAGAAATAGGAAGTTACTTTCCCCTCATGTTTTACGTTCGCACTCATTGTTTTCTGACCAAATGAAGTGGCATTTAGGTGATGAGCGCTGTCTGGTCGGGTTGAGCTGCAATTTCTTCCTCCATCTTTCCCCGAAGGCAGTGGTTCTCAACCTGAGGGTCATGACCATCGGAAGCTGCAACACTGCTCAGTAACAAAATTACAGTTGTGAATTAGCAATGAAAATAACTTTATGGTTGGGGTCACCACAACATGAGGAACTGTATTAAAGGGTCTCAGTATTAGGAAGGTTGAGAACAACTGGCCTAAGGCATTTCAGAAACTATTTAAAGACAATAAATGAAGATTAGAAATTTCTGTGTTTGAATAAGCTTAGTTTTTGGTAAGGAACATCTGGTATTAGATGGTGTAAAAGATTAGTATGTCCCGTCTTTTTTTTTTTTTCTCGAGACAGGGTTTCTCTGTGGTTTTGGAGCCTGTTCTGGAACTAGCTCTTGTAGACCGGGCTGGTCTCGAACTCACAGAGATCCGCCTGCCTCTGCCTCCCAAGAGCTGGGATTAAAGGCGTGTGCCACCACCGCCCGGCTAGTACGTCCCGTCTTATTTATTTACTATTTGATGAGCCTAGAACTCGGGGTTGCTAGACAAGTGCTTTACCACTAAAGCACCCCCCACACCTATCATCAAGTCAGTGTTGCATTTACTTTCCTATCTTGCGTCGTAAATCTGCCAGAGGTCCAGTTGTGCGGTAGCTGTGTGATTTCTTTCTTCCTTACAGTGTTGTGTTTTCTTTTCCAGATTGGCCAGGTGAAACAAGAGTTGTCCAGAAAGGACACTGAACTGCTAGCCTTACAAACCAAGCTAGAAACTCTCACGAACCAGTTCTCAGATAGTAAGCAACACATCGAGGTGCTAAAGGAGTCCCTCACTGCTAAGGAACAAAGGGCTGCCATCCTGCAGACTGAGGTAAAAGGTTTTTGTGATTTGTGTGGAATCCAGCCCATTCCTAGTTTCATCTTGTTCTATATTTGTTATGTTTAGAGTCAAGTAATCATTTATTGTGCTGAAATAACCATTTTGTTTCTGTTGTTAGATCTAATTAAAACAGGTGCTATTACTTTACATTTTTTATTATTAGGATTTATACCATATCTGTACTTTAAACTGCGTTTTGAATTATTCAAATGATAGTTATAAAAATATATCTATCTGATTCATTTAAATTGAAAAGCATTGATTCTTTTTGTCGGAGGAGGTTTATTTCATCTTACAACTCTCAGGTCACAGTCCATCCCTGAGGGAGGTGGGGCAGGAGCTCAAGGCAGGAGCTGATTCAGAGGCCATGGAAGAGCTCTGCCTACTGGGTTGCTCCTCAGCCTGAGTCCTTTTTTTTTTTTTTTAGCTTTCTTTTTTATTAATTGTTTGTGTCTTTCACATTATATATCTTCATCCCAATTCATTTCTCTGTCACTTTACATCTGTCTTCCGCTGTTGTAACCTTCCTGCTTACTCCCAAATAAAATGAAATTTAAGAGAACAAAAAGAAGAAAAAAAGAAAAACCAGTTTCATCATGGAAGCTGCAGTGTGACCCAGTGAGTCACTCAGTAAACCTTTTGTCCATATATCTTTACTTGAAAGTGTTCACTGCAAAGAGTCTTTGGTCTGGTTCGAGGTCTCTGATTTCTGCTATGCTATCGATCCTGGGCTTAGGCCCTCACTGGAACTTCTCTTGGATATCCTGTTGTTGCCCAGTGTTGTGGAGATCCTGCAGCTTAGGATCTGCAGGACTGGTCCCTTTATGTGCTCCAGCAGCTCACAGATGGGGGGGGGGGGGGTGTTGGAGTGACCTGGGTAGTTGCAGGGTTGGTCAGCCCACCAGCTCTCCTTATCCTCACCACTAGGGTGAACTCTTCCTGCATTATTCTGGTGAGTTCACAGGACCAGTTCTCCTGCTTTCACATCCTCAGGGCAGTTCTCCCACACCTAGAAGCACAGGGCCAGAGAAGCATTCATTTTTACCCATGGCAAATTATGTATGGCGGTGATCTTGGTTAGTTTGGATTACATGTAAAGTGACATACACATTTACATATGTGTGTATTTATTTGTGTGCATGTGTTTCCCCAAGCAACTTTCTGTGTGTGTATATGTGCATGTGCATGTGCATGCATTCAAGTGAAGAGGTCAGAAGACATCTCTTGGGAGTTGGTTCTCTCCTGCCACCTTGTGGAATCTAAGAATCTAAGTCGTCAAATAAATGTTCATGCTAACACTTCCCTGTGAGCCATCTTGCCAGGCCTAATGGCATAATTTTTTGGGCTGAACTTGGATTTATTTAAGGAATTTCAAGTATGAAATACTATGGAATACATCACCTTCATTTATAAAGAGAGTTTGTAACTTGAACATGCATTGCAAAATATTCAGAAGTCGGTGCCAGTGTCTTAAAGGTCTGCCTCACTACCAGTTTGCTACTGTTAGTTTGGGATGCAAACCAACCATCAAGCAGTTGGTTAATCTCAGTGCAAACACGTGGAAGTTTGTCATGGTCTGATAAATAGCATTTCTCCTCTGGCAATCCACTTTGTACCCTGCTTGAATAATATCTTCTTAGCTAGGTCTGAACACCTGTTGGCTTGTGATTGGCCTCTTCTACTGTGGCTGGTAGATACTGTATTTATTGCCACTCCTGAATGATTTTATAATCGCCTCTAGCCAGGGTAGGAGTAGCTGAGCCTCAGGGATCACCTTGTAAGTTACTAGAGCAGTTACTCCAATACAGCCATCTCATCCTAACCATTAGGGGTATAAAAGTTAGCTTCCTCATGAATTTGGGGGAATTTATTTATTGTCACTTGCTTTCAAATAATTTTTCTATTTGACATTTGACAACACTTTTCCCCCAAGCAACTTTGTTTTGTTGGTGCCCAAAAAAAGGCAGTTTGTACCAATTCCTTGAAAACTGTCATATTATATTTTACTCTTAATTGATTTTGTCCTCTTTCTTGCAGCTATTTGATCTGATGTAGAAACCAATAAATTAAGCATATGAAAAAGAGCAGGGATAATGGAGGTTTTTAAAAATTCCTCTGTATATGTACGTGTAACGTGCATTCGTGTGGTGTGTGGAGGCCAGAGGCCAACTTGAGGTATTGTTCCTTAGGTGCCATTTACCTTGTTTATTTGGGCTGCCTACCTTTTCTTCCTGGAGCTTGCTGGTTAGGCTATGCTGACTGGCCTGCAAGTCCTAGGGATCTTTTTATCTCCTGTTCTTTAGTGTTGACGTTACAGATGCATTTTGGGATCTGACTCAGGCTCTCACCTTTCACAAGCACTCTACTGAGTAAGCTATCTCCCAAGTCCTCACTTAAAAAAAAATTCTTCAAGGAAAACATTGATCTGGGGAAAGGCCTGTGTGGTATCCCCTTCTCCCATCTTCTAGAATGAAGACTTCTGGTGTTGAGCACTGTATAATATAATTGACATTGTTTCTAAGTATATGTTTCTCTCTTTTAATTTGTTGACCTTTCTTTCTAGAGGTGATCAGACTTTAGGAGAAATAAGAGTTGAGGGTTGGAATGATGGCTCAGCAGTTAAGAACACTAACCACTCTTCCAGAGGTCCTGAGTTCAATTTTCCAGCAACCAGCATCTGTAATGAGATATGGTGCCGTCTTCTGGCCTCCAGGCAAACGTGCAGGCAGAACACTGCATACTAAATCAATCAATCAATCAATCAATCTTAAAAAAAATAGTTGAAAGTGGAGGTTTAACTGCATAAGATCAAGCCTGTCAATACGCGCAGAGCAGATGCAGGTAGAGCCCGTGAAGTTCTGCTTACTAGTTGATGGCCGCTGGGGGAGTGGGCAAGGCTGCAACTGCTGGTAGGTTGTTCATGCTCATGCAGGCAATACTAATTGGATTCATTGGATTGTTAAAAACTGTGAGTATAGGAGGGCTACATATTCAGGGCACTTCTTGGGAGTGGGAAAGGGGAGTTGGGTTGATATGATCAAGATACATTATTGTCTATTATGTTTGAAGTTATAATAAAAAGTGCTTTAAAAAAAATAGAGGTTGGGGCAGTGCCAGGGCATGCCTTTAATCCCAGCACTTGGGAAGTCTTGGCAGGGCAGATCTCTGTGAGTCTGAGGTCGGCCTGGCCTACTGAGCGAGTTCTAGGACAGCCAGAGCTACACAGAAAGACCCTGTCTTGAAACTCCCTCCCTCTCCCCGCAAAAAAGGAAAAAAAAATTAGAGGTTTTGGGTCAGACCTAAGATTGATGCTAACCCTCTGTATTATTATGTGACTGTATATGAGTTGTTTTTTAACCCATTTTTAAGCCTCTATTTTTTCATCTATAAAATAAGGATACTACTGTTTCTAAAGCTCTTTTAGCTAGAATAGATGTTTTATTTCATATTCCTTTCCCAAACATGCAAGGACCCTTAAATTTGTAGGCTAAAAATCTTTTTAAATACCTGGTCTTTTAGCCGGGCGGTGGTGGCGCACGCCTTTAATCCCAGCACTCGGGAGGCAGAGGCAGGCGGATCTCTGTGAGTTCAAGACCAGCCTGATCTACAAGAGCTAGTTCCAGGACAGGCTCCAAAACCACAGAGAAACCCTGTCTCGAAAAACCAAAAAAAAAAAAAAAAAACAAAAAAAACAAAAAACCTGGTCTTTTATAACACCTATTTTATTTTTGAGGTAGGGTCTCTCTATGTACCCTGGCGTTTTTGGACCTCTCTATGTAGACCAGGCTGGCCTCAAACTCACAGAGCTCCACCTGCTCTGCCTCTTAAGTGTAGAAATTAATGATGTGTGCCACTCTATTCGGTTTATAATATTTGATATCAGTTGTTTTATTTGCTTCTGCACTAATTGCTTTAGTATAGTATCCCTGTGGCCATAGCACTTAACAGGAACAACATAATAAAGGACAGATTTATTTTGGCTCATGGGTTCAAAGAGTCAGTTCATCATGGTGGGGAAGGCATGGTAGAATCGCTAAGTTAATGGTGGTATGAGCATATATTAAGCCAGGATTCAGAGAGTACAAAGGAACCAGACTCAAGTATCACCTTCAAAGTCCATCTATAGTTACCTTACCAGCCAGGCCTCACCTCTGAAAGGTTTTATAGCCTACCCAAATTCTACCACCAGGTTGGGATGTAGTGTTCAAAACATGAGCCATTTCTGACTTAAACTGTTATAGCATTCTACTCCTATTCAATCTCTACCCCACCTCCACCAAAGCCCTTGACCATCTCATAATACAAAGTGCTTTTAATCTAATTTCAAGAGTTCCATAGTCTTAACAGTTCCAGCATTGTTCAAGAATCCCAACTGAGACTTAAAACAATCTCTTAGTTGTTACATCATCCAAGAGCCCTTGAAATATCAAAAAGAAAGGTTTATAAACTAGGTATGGTGGTTTGTATGGCTACTCTTAGTTCTTGAGTGGGTGGGCATTAAAATTGTCAGGAGTTCAAGGTCAGTCTAGGCTACACTGGTAAGACTCTGAAAAACAAACAAACAAAACCCTGGGCATCTAGAAACGCCAGAATTCCAAGCTGGTGTCATTTGTATCACCGACGAAGAAGAAACTGATAGAAGTTGAGCTGGGAGAGCTGCCAAGCTGGATATTGATGTGGGATTTTACTTTCAAAGGCTTGGAGTATTTCAGAGAGATTACAACTGGCATCACAACAAGTACATTAACATGAGGAAAGGGAGCATCAATGGGGCTAATATGATACAGGCTGCCAATGTACTTTTCCAACTCCTCAATTTTTTTATAAGGAACTCAAACATTAATGATGATGCAAGTACCTCTGAAGAGGAGCCAGTGCTGGGGGGAGGAGGACACTCTGTATTCTGAACTCAACTGCCTGCCTAAAACCCATCTGTGAAGAATTCTGTTAAGACTAAATTTTTTCATATCTTGATGGACAATTTATGTCCA